GAGAAATCGTCCCTCTCACTTGCTAAAAGTTAGGCATGGACAAAAGAAGTGTACAGTTTAGTTAGAGTAAAGGTCTGTTCTGTTTGGTGGAAAAGTTACAACTTGCCAGCTTAACTGGACATTTTTTCCAGGAATCTTTTTTGCCACATGGGGTCAAAAACGGACCCTTCTTGAGCACACGTGAGTAGCAGATAGGCAATTTATACTCGATATCGGTGAGTTGGGGTAGGGCGTGTCACCGGAAGTGACGTGCACTTGATAGAAACTATGTGGATAAGCTGCTTCCAACATACATCGCTGGCTATCAGCAAAGCATGCTGGCAACAGCTTATCCACGCACTTCTATCAAGTGCACGTCACTTCCGGTGACACACCCACCCCAACTTTCGGATATCGACTGTATTAGAATCTCTTGTGTAATCAACTTCGTTAAAGCGTTTGTGCATCATCAGTAAATGCTAAGGTGTCCTACCATTTCAGCACAAGATTAGTGCAACCCCGTCTCGACTGATTTAGCCACCTTTCATGACACGATTGCGAGCATCACTTCAAAGAACTTCACATGTCTTTTGAGAAAACTCTGAAGAACCGATGTGCATTCTAACGGTGAAGTTTTCCTCCAACAAATGCAATGTTGGTTTGGTGGGCGGAAGTTGTAGCTTTCAGCAAGAATTTTGAAGCATTTGGTATACACATGCGAATTTGCACACTGGACCCAAATTTTCAAAAAAAAAAATATAAAAATTTGGGGAAAGTTAAATTGTGAACCAACATTAGAAAACAACAAAGCAACATATTTTGCAATATTAACGAGCAAAAAGGACTTTCTGAAATAGTATCTAATATCTGATTTTACATAGTAATCGGCCCCAAAACTTCGTGAACTCAAAAAAGCGACACTACGATATCCGGTACCTAATATTAGTACTCTAAAAGTCCATCCGCCGAACTCGCTGCCTTCCTCCACTTCGAAATGGTCTAAAAGCATAGGAGTTTCTCTGAAAAAACTTTTCTTGCCCGTGCTAGGGAGATAGTGCATTATAGTAAGAAATCTCGCTCTGTGTTGCGCCATTCAATCGACAGAGGTGGGGGGGGTGTGTAGAATCGCCAGTGGTGGCTGGAGTTCCGTCTCCTTTGCCACTTAGCCATGCCTTGGCACCAGCAGATTTGTGAATGTCTTAAAGGAGGATTTCACGATTAGAATGGAGGTCGAGGAAGAAGTAATTGACCTAGTTGAGGGAACCCACGGACCTCCTGAGGGTGCGAACTGATGCGCAATTCGCATCGAAAAATTTGACCTCGGCGACCTATTATGCCTCAAAGTTGGCGGGTCTGGCGATCTCCGCCCACCGACCAGCTGATCACTCGCCGCAGATCTATACGTGGGATTGATTAGATAGCAGAGAGAGCGTGATGTTGAGGAGGGCACAGCGATAAGAGTCGCATCAATGCGCAAATCAGCGGGGAAGGAAGGGGTCCCATTTCTCGGGTTCTGGGCCGTTTCTCATGGTTCTTCCTTCTTTCGTGTACCAATCACCATCCCTGAGTTAATTTGAAATGGGTTGCCTTCCCAGCGTGAATTCGTCTCTTTAAGGCTACAACCCCCTCCACTTCCTTGACCAAATACGACCCCCTCGTTGTTCGGGCGGTTGACCCTGGGTCGGGCCACAGTCCATATCCGAAAGTTGGGGTGGGTGTGTCACCGGAAGTGACGTGCACTTGATAGAAGTGCGTGGATAAGCTGTTGCCAGCATGCTTTGCTGATAGCCAGCGATGTATGTTGGCGTAAGCAGCTCATCCACATAGTTTCTATCAAGTGCACGTCACTTCCAGTGACGAAACCCAACTTACCAATATCGAGTATATTTCGCCTACTAGCTCACGGTAGCCGTCCCTGTATTGCTCACTTTTGTGAAGCCGAGTCATTGCCGCGCACATTCGAGCAGCGACAACGGCACGAACATGATGCGCGTGAGCTACTCTATCCTACCCGCAAAATAAATTCCTCGACACGACCTCATTTGAGTTTGTTGCTTTGAGTCCATAGAGTGGCGCGGTGCTGCAAGCTGAAGTGCTCCTAGTTATACAGTGACCAACTGACAACCTGTAGCCGCGGTATAATTTATAAGGATGGAATTCGTTTCACATATGGATCGTTCGCCTTGCTCGATTTTGTTGTACATGACCGCCCCACGATGATACTTATGAGGCGATGACTGGCTTATGAACCCCTCTACAGCATGAATCCAGTCTCCTTCAGAAAAGAAAAATTCACCACTCATTCAGTGTATGATTATGGCCTCAAAGTTGGCGCGCTGGCGATCTCCGCCCACCGACCATC